CTTCACTGTTCCTCGCACTGACACTCACTGCTGCACTGCACAAACTACGTCCGCACAGTTCGGCTGCTCGCTTGGAACTTTTCGACTCAACTGACTTCTGCTGATATACATATATATATATATATATTACGAACACGCGCTTTTCATTGTTCCGTCCGTCTCTTTCAGTTATAAGCAAACGACGGGATTTCTGACTCTTACTTTATTTCAGACACGCTCGAATGAACCTCTGTTAACAGCACTTTCTCGATCGGAGCGTGGACGACGGGCGCTTCCCGCAAAAATGAAAAAACCGTTACAATTTCTGTGCGACGTGATTGGCTCCCGCGCAGAAATAACGGTTTAGTTACGTAACGAACCTTATAAAAAGGCCCTGAAAAAAAGGGAACAACATTCATTCTGCGCTAGTTTCAACCCCGTGAGGTTGTGCATCCTAACTTAGCTTTCTACGAAAGTGACGAACTCGCAAAGTTCGAACTGAGCTATTTTGCCGTGAGAAAATTATTCATTTAAGCCTTTTGCATTGCATTAAACCCCGTGAGGTNTTCGACGTCTTCGCGGCGAGCCCATGTTACACATTCCCCGCACAATTCTCAAATATTAGGCACAAACGGTCATATATCGCGACATGGCGCCCAGCGTGGAGCTCGATTAGAACTCCCGAGGTCTCCACCAAGGGCCCATGCCGTCGTTACCGATACAAACGATCATATTCCTCGACATCGTCTTCATAAAGCAAGAGTTCCCTGAATTGGTACTTTGTGCCGCAATCGACTTGAGTTCGTGTCAGTTCGTAAATTTATTCACCATTCTACAAACATTAACTTAAATAGTAGTGAATTTTTATAAAACCCTAATTTACGATTGGCAGCTGCTACATTTCTGGCGGGCCTTTATTTATTACAAAATTAGGTTTGTTATTTAAATGTTTTGATGTTATATATTTGTGGTTTAATGTGGTCACATATAAAGCCACATTATTTAATAGTTGGAATTTATTTCTCAAATTTTAAATGTTACCTTATGATGTTAATATATTAGCCGCGGACGAGGAAGAACGATTGGAACAGATTCGGGAATTTAATAGAGAAAGGCGTTTAATGCGTGAAAGATGCGATCCCTTTAATTTGAGTGATATTTATTTCAAACAGTTATTCAGGCTGACAAAGGATATGGCACAATATGTGCTAAACAGAATTCTCCCTTTGATTGATGTGACCAACAATCCCGTAACTGCTCCTGCCCACTTAAAGTTTTCCACAGCTTTATTGTTTTTTGCAACTGGATCTTATCAGAGAATTATTGGTCAGAGTTATAATATTTCCTTATCGCAGCAAGTGGTCTCTCGTGTAGTGCATGAAGTAGCTACATCCATTATTACTGAACTTGGGAATCAATGGATACATTTTCCAACAACTAATGAAGAGAAAAACAACCTAAAAGCTAGGTTCATGGAAAAGACTGGATTCCCTGGAGTCATTGGTGCTATTGATTGCACTCACGTGGCAATTTTAGCTCCAGCACAAGAGGAACACAATTATTTAAACCGAAAAGGATATCACTCTAAAAATGTTCAAATTGTAGGTGTATTTTTTTTCTCCAACATGAATATACTAATATTATATAATTTTAGATTTGTGACTACGATTTAAACATTTTAAATATAAATGCACAATATGCTGGTGCTACCCATGATGCCTTCAATTGGAGGAATTCATTCGTACAACAAGAAATGGAAAGGTCATACAACAGAGGTAAGTTACGACATGAAATTATGATGTCTTATTAAATCTATATTATTTACAGGTGATCATCATACTTGGTTGTTAGGGGATTCAGGATATCCTCAACAGCCACGGAGTTCTTAAGGGCCGGTTTAGATGCATTTTAGGAGAAAGGGTTTTACGTTATGATCCCATTAGAGTGGATAACACAATAAATGCATGTGCAATTTTGCATAATATATGTGTTAATGGTCATTTAGACATTGACTTTGATATCAATGTTAATGAAAATAATAATAACGAAAACATATTAGTGGCAGGTAACGAAGGAAATGTTGCTAGAATTAATTTAATTAATGAATATTTTAGGTAAGCATTTGTACAATTAAATTTGTTATTCATTTCAAGTTCCTAATATTTATTAAGAAATAAACATAAACAATAAAGTAAATGAGTTTTATTAACTAACATACCTATAATGCAAACATAAATAAGTTAAATAAGTTACTACAAGACAAATAATATAAAAATAAAACAAATGTGTATTATAGTTATGAGTATATAATAAAAATAAAGCATCCATATAAATCACAGTTAATTATTTATTCTCTTTCAAAATTTTAGTTAAGTCTTTAGTTAAGTCTTTAGTCTTCTGTCGAGTCTGCAATTCTGTCCAAATTTCTACAAATTTTTTCCAAATTTACGTCTATCTTTTCAAGGATATGAATTGTTTGTTGGCTCATGTTCTGTAAGTTTTTAGACATACCATGTATACTACTTACTTTACAACGCTTATGTTTAGAATTATTTCCTTTGTCACTATTATCTAATTGATTTCTGTTGAATTTGTCTTTATTTATTATCAATGACTGCTTACTTATATATGTATGATCAGTATCTTTGTTAATAATAAAAGTGGATTCTGTTGTAGTTTCCGAAACCGAGGTACATGGAGTCGAAATTTGCAAATTCTACAAGCAATTACCATATAATAAAAAAAATTACAATAAAATATATACATTTACCTGTCCTAGTTCTACAACTTCTGGATTTCCCTCCAAAGCTTTTTTCCCTATTATGCTTAGTAGTTTTTCTTCAATTGTGGATAATGGAGTGCAAATAATACCACCACCACCAGTTTGCACTTGGTGACATCGAATTTTTTATGCTTTAACTTTTACTTTCGACTTCCAATCTGTTACAGCCTGTAAATGTGTTAATTAAATACAACATAATTTATTTATATAATTACGTACTTTTCGCCATTCAAGTACTGACTTCTGTCCATATCCTAATGAGTTTAGTTTTTCTGCTGCTGTCTGCCATAAAGCATTTCCTTGGGCCTTACCTTGCACACCATTAAACTTATTAGTTATCAGTTCCGGATTTATTTCAGCCATTTGTAAAAAAAGATTCCAGTGTTCTGGATTGACTCTCATATTTAACGATTTAATTACGAGATAAAAGCAGAATATAATAATACGTTAGATAACAGACGTTAACGCGATTCTTAAAAACACATTTGTATTTCAAAAGTCTATCGCCAATCCTCTAACATATTTTGTGGTTAAGACCATAGAAAATTTAGGTTAAGAGTAAGAAATTAACCGCTCTCGTTCTTCTTATGTTCCATGTTCCATTGTTAGTTTGTGGTCTAACGTCTAAACATAATATATTTCTCTTACTCATTAGTAGTTCCATCTCGCATCCTTTAATCGACAGCTAAACACATATCGCCTACTTAGCGATAAACATGAGGTGAGAAGATAGGGGGGGATGTAATAGAAATCGTATACGGAGTGCCACTCCTAACTCTTTGGAGCGATAAATAGAATTCTATAATGCACAGAGTTCCACTGCTGCTTCGCCTTTAAATTATCGCTGAATTTTTGAAAAATCCGGTTTTTAATTTTTTTCGAGGTGTAATCCCCACTCCAAGGGGATGATTTTCACTGGGGAGCTAGTTCTTGATGTACCACACCTTGCCCCAAAATATGAAGCTGGCACACGACCTGCTTGGGCTTTAAATTATCGCTGAATTTTTGAAAAATCCGGTTTTTATTGTTTTTCGGGGTGTAATCCCCAAGCCAAGAGGATGATTTTCACTGGGGAGCTAGTGCTTGATGTACCACACCTTGCCCCAAAATATGAAGCTGGCACACGACCTGCTTCGCATTTAAATTATCGCTGAATTTTTGAAAAATCCGGTTTTTAATTTTTTC